TTTTAAAGCGCTTAACAAATAAAGTTGCATTGAATTAACTGGCTGCTCCTTTGGCGAAACCAGTCGGTTGCTAGGCAACAGAGTAACAACCAGGGAAACATGGCGGAGAAGAAACGAGGTGCAGGTTCGTATGAATTAACTCAGTTTATACCTCCACCCGTCTTATCTACTAGTTTAAATTACAATCACATATATCACAGTTCCGTTTATCTAACGCCCCGTGGTGTCTTCAAAACGGCGGGTCGGTAGTTGGAGTTGTTGCTTCAGTAACGAGCTAACAAAGTGAACCTGTCTGTCTGTCTGTCTGTCTGTCTGTCTGTCTGTCAGAGGCCACAGTGTCAGAGGTCCACAAGAAGATCACAGCAGCTTTTGAAGTGTTTGACTATGAGTCTAACAACACAGTGGATGCTCGGTGAGTGAGGTTGTTCTCCCTGGCTCATAAACCAGAAGGTTATAATGTAAAAAGAGACAATAACACAACCCTCTGAACTCTGGGCCACAGCTTCAAACACAGTGAATATAAAGGTGGGATGCATAAGTTAGAGACATTATAGGTCTATTTAATAATAAATCTTAAATGGGACCCTTGTATGGAGGCCCTTACCTTATTAAAAATATCCTAAACATGTGAATTAAGTTACATATTTACCCCAAATCCTGTAAAATCTAAATACACTTAGTCCACAGTATATTGCCATGTGCTGGGTTTGAACCTTGTAATCTCACACCATCAAAGACAATTTGTGTTGAGAAAGTAATATATAGAGAGAGTTAATTATATAGGGTAAAGAGTAAATGTGTAGTTTATGGGGAAAATGCCCACGTGGGTCTGTAGTTTTGTGTTTATAAGTCAAACTAAAACACCACTTCAATGAGGTGATGAGGCCACGCTGGCAGAGATGGTGAACATTCATTTAGTGGCGTGGGCTCTGGTAGAGTTTGGTGAATGAAACATGCCTTAATACAGAGAGATCAGAGTAATCATACACTGTAGTTACATGTCGTTAAATAATGTGGTTTGTTTTCCAGGGAGATTGGCAGCATCATCTATTCCCTAGGCTGCTTTCCCACTCAGGCAGACCTACATGATTTCACAGCTGAGGTCAGAACAGTGTTCACTTATATGTTGCTCATACTTTGGATGAATAAAACAACTGGATTCTACCATTTCACATTTTATTCATGTTAACTTCTAGTGAAATATAATTAATAATGGTATTGTAATGTGACTGCCATTTAAAATGCTATCTTGTTCATTTGAAATGTAGAATTACCTATATGCCTGACACATATAATGCACAGAGAAAGGTGTGTCTTAACTTTTACCCTCAGTGTCTTTGTCCTGTTCAACCAGGTGGAAGAGGGCCACACAGGATATATCAGTTTGGACAAGTTCCTCCCAGTCATGACCAAAGTGCTGCTGGAGAACAAGTAAGATAATCGTCAGTTGTGTGTTTTGTAACTGAATAAATAAAAGCGCTGCAATTTTGAGGGTGAGAAGAAGTCCAAGTCGGCGCTTATGTTAAAGCAAAATATTTATTATACAGCGCATCTTTATATTAGATGTTACTGAGGGACCAAATGAATGACCTACTGCCTTTAATGTGGTAGTTACTGCTGTACTTCACAGAATATATGTTTTGTAAAGGTCCGGGAATACTACCACTGTACAGTTTATCATTAATCTTTAAAGCAGTGTTCGGTAGAAAATGCCAAATGTCAGACTTATTTAAATAATATATGACTCTTTTTCTCTGCTTGTGCTTTTCTGTGCTTAAAGCTGCTAAATGGGTTCTAAAGTGTGTACTCGTTGATACACAGGTTTGTCCTCCATGTTCTCCATCTCAGGCAATATTTCAGCTTCACTTAAAACCAGTGAAAATGTTTGGATCCTCTTAAGGAGCACAAAACACTTCAGTCTGTAGTGGAAATTGGGATTGGATATGAGTAGCAAGAGGATATGTTAATTCCATCTTTTATCAATACTATCAGGGGGGTACTCTCATACAGACACAAATGGTGATTGTGTGTGTGTGTGTGTGTGTGTGTGTGTGTGTGTGTGTTAGGTACCCTCCCATCCCTGAGGATCTTCTGCTTCAGGCGTTTGAGGTGAGACCAGCTGCTGTTACCTCGTATCCTCCACTGATGTAGTTTAAGGAGTTGTAAACAGGTTATCTGCCACTTTAAACTCCCTTTTTAGCACCAGTGATTCACAGTGTTAGTTACTGATATTTGTTACAGCATGAAGGCAATAACACTGTGTTTCCAGGTTCTGGATAAAGAAAAGAAAGGATACCTGGAGCCTGAGGAGCTGACAAAGTACATGACACGGGAAGGTAAAGCAGCTTTCAGTCTTTACTTTGTGAGGTAAAGTCAGATTCGTTTGTGTTGTGAACAGTAGATATGTAATGTATATATATATATATGTAATGTTTCCTCCTACTTCCACAAAACATTCCTAAGGTAGGAACTTTAACGTTTTTTAACCATGGCTGTGTTTGTCTTTAAACCAGGCGATGTTTTCACTCAGGAGGAGATGGATGAGATGTTGACAGCACTTGCTGACCACGAGAAAAACCTTATTTATTACAAAGACTTAATTAACCTGCTGACCATTGACCCTGATATGTAGACAGTGCCACAGTGTGTGTGTGTGTGTCAGCATAGCTTTTTATTAATATTACAAACACACAAGTCTGTGTATGTTTGGTGTTTGTGTTCATGTATGCATGTTTTTATGGTGGGCTAGTAGTTCTGATTATACATGCACAGAGCTCAACCTGACTGTGTTTCCAGAGTTGTCTTTCATTTCAGTTGAAATACTTTCTGGTCAAATTGTTTTGGCAGATTTGTGAAAATGTATCAACGAGGGAGCACCATTATGTAGAAGTTCATTATCTTGGTATAATCTACAGTAATTTTATGCTCCCATGCATACATACATATTATACCCAACCTCTCTTTCCTACTTCTGAGATGTTTTCAAGAATCACATTAAATTGGGAACTACATGAACAATATAAATCGTTGTGAGTGGTGTGGTCTACTTTTTTAACATGTAAATGAAGTCAGAAATCAGGATCAACACACAGTACTGTGATTCACTCAAGTTTGCTAGCTAATGCATTACAAAAAAAACATTGGTCATAATCTTGCATTTGTGTGGGGATATACACCTCAAAACAGAGGCTGAGGCTTAGTGCTGGGTCACAGGCTCCTCGCATGCTCTGCAGAAATGTATATGTGGAATTTTTTAGGCTCGTTTTATAGAGAAAATGTGGTAATTTAAATCTTGTGTACTACATATGATGAGAGATCAGATCAGGTGGCTGTAGGTGACGTGTATGGTCCCTTTCTGGTGTCATCCTCAAGCTGCAGGGACCAATTACATTCTGACATCAGACTGTAATTTTCTGTAACAACTCTAATGAGTATTCCTTGTTCAGTGACTGTACTTGGGACCAGCAAGGATATCAGAAGCAAGAGGTAATCTGGTCATTAATTTGACAAAGCGTTAGACAGTATGTGCAACCAATGGACAAATAGGGAAAGCAGGAATCAGTAACACGATGAAGACCAAGAACATTACCTATAAGAAGTGACAGCAAATGAAATATGCTCAATAATGGGAGTAGCAAGGAAGGAAACAACCTTCATTGTGGTGAATTATGAATTCATGACAAAGGCACTTTGATGTGTCCCATGATCAGTAGTTCAGTAGTTCAGTCAACTGCATGATGGGCATCTCAATAAATGACCCTAAGTATGAGGAAATAAATGAAGCAATGATTGGCTTTATCAGCATAGCATTTTTATCTTAAGTGATTCTGCATTGAATAGTTATACATGCATGAAACAGTTAAACACAGCTTTGGAACCGGGATGACATGACTTATCTTTAGCTTAGATAAGAATATGATATGGTAGCAAACACAAGCAGATCTCTATCCGAACATGAATACATGCTGAAGTTCTGCTTTAAAGTTTCATTTCACAGTAAAAACAATGACCCGTTACTTTTGGTTTCCAACAACTGTGTAAGACAAACACATCAGAAAATAACACATAAGCCTACAGTATGAGAAAAAGTCTGTATTAAACATTCCCTTTTCACTAAACACCAAAAGTCACAACAGAATAAGGCTCATTTATGTTCAGCATAATCAAACGGCATCAAATCACTAGTCTTGACAGAGAGAAAAGATTTAAAAAGGATTTTTTTACCTTTAAGCTCTTTTTTCTCTTACTTGTTGTATTTGTAACACGAATAAATGCGTCCCTCAGTGAGAAGAGGCTTCGACAAGCAACTTTACTTAACTAATAAAGAAATGAAATTGTGTATGCAAGAAATAAAATAATCCACTTGCATGTTGAGGTGTTTTTCTCAAACATACTTCATTCTGAATGGAGAAGAGAACTGAAGCTGGGTTTGTGATGGAATGTCTGATTCGTAAATAGTGAGAAACATAGTAAACTTTACATCAGCGACATGTAAGTCCAGTCACAAATACATGATTCGAAACCTGAAAAGAGTGAAATGGGAGTTGGTGGCCATTTAGAAGCCACTTACAGATATTATTTTAAGAAAATGAAATATATCTGGCTTCTAATCCTTCTACAAGTAAGAACCCCCTACTTTCTTGGAAAAATTTAAAACTATAGATGAGATTGTGTTCCACTGTATGCAGCCATACCATGTGAGAATGTATGAACTGGCTGCCAGTGACTTCTCCTGTGCAGCTATGTTATCAGCGGCAGTCCACACTGGTTATTTGGTCCTTAAAAGTTCCATAAATAGACAGAAGAAAAGGGGAAGGAACAAGGAAGAAATATGACAGATTATAGAAAAGGTTTGACAGAGCAACATGGAAACAACAATGAGAAGAGGGTAAAAAGAGAAGGAGAAACAAAAAGAAGATGGAGGTAGAGAGGATATTTTTGACATCATATTCAGCTACCAACAGTGGTCTCTTAACAATGTTTTTGCATTATTGCACTGCAACTGACACACAGAGGAATGACAATCTCATAACAAATCAACCACACCCAAACCACATTGTTCACATATATTAGGAAGAACAGGAGGTGATCACCTCACTAGCTTTCTACTGGAAATCTTTCTTTGCCTTTGGGAATGAGATAAGAGAGGGAAGAAGCAGGACAGAGCTTTCTGATTAAAAAGGGTTGGCTCTTCAGAAATTACATTTGCTGTGAGGTTGGGGGGGGTCAAAGCCCCGTTAACTGATTCAAACTGTGGATTTTGACATCACCTAATTACACTACTAAAACAGAAGATTCAAGCATTACAGAAATTACACAACTATGTGTACAAGTGTGTTGCATAGTGGAGCCACACATAAATATAACAAAGGGAATTGATCCTACAGCAGAAAATGCAGCTTTGTCAAAACTTCCACATTTCAAAAACATCATGCCACAGACGACCCAGTGTGCCTCGACAAAAACAACCTGTTATGACTTTATCCAAACCTCATCCCTCTTTATCTCACCCTGACTGAAGGCTAAGTCTTGTAAGGCCATGGGGAAATACAGAACAGGAGTCAGATGATGGGCTACAATGACTTGGCAAAGATGTTGGGTGGGTTCAATTAAATTTGGACAGAGCACAGCAGTGCCTCTTTTTAAGTTTGGGCTCTAACAATCAAATGAACTGGATGTAAAGGGGCTTTGCGTATACATATTATTATATGTATATTATAATGTTAATGCAACGGGGGTGAAATCCAGTGATGACCAACCCCTACACACACACTTGACTGAGAATTAAGGCAAAAAACGGAAATGTTTGACTTTGAGTTTTACCTGCATCTACCTCAAAAAACAAAATTGATTCCATACATTTAAAAATCTGCTTTTCTGACCTGATTAATAACCACTGTACGCCATCATCTGACTCCCACGAATGATAACAATCAATTTTCCTTATCTGGGCCATGAACTTCAGGTGTGACAGCATTAGTCTGATAAATTTCACAATCAGTACCTGTGTTTGCCACAACAGCTACTTTGCATCACACCTAGATCAAGTTTCCACAGTCACATTGTTTGCCAACATCTCATTAGCACTCCACACAGACAGACCATAAAGTGGTTTTCTCTAGATCTGCAGCACGAGACCAGCGGCTGAGATGTTGTCCCCTCCACCTGCAGTTTGGTAAACCTCAGTGCACACCAGTACCGGAGCTACGCAGATCTCATAGTCCACCTCATCCCAGCAGCTGACAGGCCTGGTCTCCTGCAGGGGTATACGCTGGCTGCCCTCCTGCCGGCTAACAGAGAAGGAGTCATCCATGATAAGCCTTGCCTTGCTGGGGTCAATGTCATTAGAGCCACAGACATGGCGGTTAGCTGTGAGAGAGGCCTTGGCGGTGGCTGACATGGTGTTCTTCCACTGGGAGCCACGTGTCACAATCATGGCCTGAAAGGCCAGCGTGTGGACGTGGAGCCGAGTCAGCGGCTTAACCTTTGCACCGTATGCTTCGTCTTCTGTGCTGGCATCCTTGTAGCGCTGGTTTAAAATGCGATAGACCTCCCTCATCTGGTCGAGGACAGTAGCTACACGAGGGTTTGGGTCAGACAACACTGTGATGTTGGCGCCTTTAAGTAGACTGAGCAGGTTGGGAAGCTCCTGTTCATTCATCCCTAAAGAGTCCGCCTGGAAAAGCAGAATCAGAATGAGTGAATAAGCTTCTGCTTTTAACTAAACTGTGCATCTTGGAAAAAAACAAAACAGCCATACTGTTGCATTAAGTGCCAATTTCTTTCACTGTGATCTATAAGGCAAGTGTGCTTTATTTTTAAATAATAAAAAAAAAACTGACTACAATTTTGATCTCTAAAAGTAGGTTGTGGCTGTCATACTGGTGTTATTTTTTAGAACTACACTCAATGTGATGTTTGAAATGAAGGAAACCAATGAGACGTTATGATTGTCATTAAGTTTAACTTTTTGGACAATATTCCTATGGCAACATATAGCTAATACTAACTTCATAATGGTAACATTTACAACTACAATTATTTAGTTTAAAGTAGTTATGGGACTGGCCAGAACATAATCTAGGATGGTTTTGTTTTCTATATGTGAAAAAAAGCTGTCATGTTTTAAATACAATCCTTTTTTGAAATCCTGTCACAACGCTGGTGAGCGAGTCATTAAATGTACTCTAATACATCAACATGTAAATACAGGAAGGCAAAGGCAAGTGCTGTGGAGTCACAGGCTGTTCACAAATGTATTCAACAAATTTAACTAACCAAATCTAGAGTCAAATAACCTGGTATTACTTGTCAGACATGCTGTTCCTCTTCACTAGTCTACCTCACTCAATTGTTCCAGGATGAACATTTAGTTTTTTCAAATGTGTAATTGTTCTAGTTTGCTGCCAGTCTATGGAAAACATCTGAATTAATGTGTTGATTAATTGAATTGTTCAGTCATACATACGTGGGGGATGACATAGTGAAGTAGGTCTTCCATTATACTCTCTTCTACAAAACTGGCCATCTCAAAATGGACCCCAATCTGTGCAGACGAGGACGACATGATGTTGGCCAGGCGGGAGAGGAGAGCGTCGCGCTCACCTAGAATGATAAAAGGAATGGGTGGAAGAACAAAAGAAATTCAGACAAAAAAGTTAGCCAGACAATGAAAAGTGAAGGACACAATGAGGACAGAATAAACAAAACGGAGTAATGAGGAAGTCAGTACAAGGACAGAGATTTGAAAAACAAGGCAGAGAAGGTAAGATTTCATAGAGAGAATAATGCCAAAGACCAGGAAATGTAGACAAATGAAATATAAAGCAAGCAAGGGAAAGTTGAGAAGTGGGGAAAGATGCAGAACGGAGATGAAGAGGAAGAAGGAGCTGTCAGATTACAGCGATATAATGATACATGACTTTCTCACTTTTTTTAAAAAACAAAATGGAATTGAAGACAAAGGATAACTGAAAAAGATTAAGGTAAGGTATAAACTGTGCAAAACAATGCATATTTCCTTTTCTTTGTTTAAAGTGAAACTTAAGTCTTTGCGCCTTCAGACAGCTACTGATGCGAGTGACCAAGGCATCTTCTACCTTCTGCTGTTTAAAGAGTATCACGATTCATTTTTCACCTCACTGAATTAAATCTTCACATATTTGTATCAGGAGTTAACAGTCTCATGATATATATATTTCAATTCTTGTCAGGTCGCATAATAATTATTGTAAAAATAAACATTCATATTAGCACAGGTCTATTCTGTATATTACTCTGGGGGAAAATGCATATCTCCCTCAGGAACTCTGCATCAAACTCCAATTTACAAGGCATTGTTCAATCTTCAATCATTACTCAGAATAGACTAGTTTATTTAAGTAAAGTAAAAGTATCATTATTAATAATTGTATAATTTGTATAATTGTATGTAAGGTTGGCTCATTCCAATTCACATCCACACAAGTTTCTAAAACCTACTTTTCAAGTTGGCAAACAAAGCGGACACAACTGCTGGATGTTCCAATTGAGCTACAAATAAAAGATTGTCACCAATTTCCTTTTACCTGACTGGAATGGGAAGTTATCCATCATTTGCAGCCCACCCACCACCAGCAGATCTGGTTTGAAGGTTTCGAGTTTCGCAGCAAACTCCTGCATGGAGGCCAGGTAGGGGTTATGGTCGTCACTGTGCACGATGTATCTACAGAGCACAAACACAGTCAGCTTCAAATACCATAGAGCCTTAAACTTGTATGTACACACACAGAATAATTGGATTTATTATTCACAACATTCATTAAATCCAGCGTACTGTGTATGGTGGCTTAAATACACTCAGGTACACAGTTCACCTTATTTGATCCCTCAAGATTCTCAAAATATCTACCAAATGCTCGACGAACACATACCTGTTGGCTCTGCGTGAGGTATAGTGCCCCCAGCTAGCACCAGATGGATACTCCAGGATCAGATGAATGTCTGGCTCTTCCACTATGTTACCTGCCACTGGAAAGACAGAGGTAGGTGAGGAACAGGGGCACAGAATGAGGAACACAGAGGAGGGAAATACAGATAGTAGAGAGGGCAGCGGAAGTGGAACATAAGAAAAAGAATAGTGAAAAAAGGAAGGGTACAGCAGGATTTAGGGGTGCAAGAAAAGGATTGTGTGTGTGTGTGTGTGGGAAGGCGAGACCGACAGATGCTGGACGGTAATAAGGGCGTAGCAGTGTGTTTATGTGCATGTGTGTGTACCTGTAATGTGCTGGGACAGGACATCAGTAAAATCGGGGCTGAAGCTTCCCCCTAGCAACACATCACATCCCTCAGTTGCCATGCGACCAGCCATTACCGGGGCATTGCCGCCTACTGCCCATCTGTTTCCAGGTAAGTCACGGGACGCTTCAACCAGCTCACTGAATAGGGTGTCATTTAGCATAAAACGCCTGAAAGACAAAGCAGAGAAATAATGAAGCAATGGTACAACTGAAATGACTTTGTTGTGTGAACAAATCTGTCTTGGCCTGCCTTAACTGGTTTAAGAGACTTGTTTAACCAGTCTGTTAAAATACAATGAATCAATGAGTTCAATGGGCTTCTTTGAAAAATGCAACTACTGCTACTAGGAATGGAACGACTGTCACAACAACATTTTGTTTTATTCTGACTGGTACACCGCAATGGACATTTACATATACACTCTTTATATAAAAATAAAAAAATAATAATAATGGACTGACTGCCGTTACCCTGAGCAGCACGCATGGGGATGAATTAACGGTACAATTGTTGCCCTTTCCCTGACGGTCTGAATAAGTCAATAAACGACGGTTACGACACAAATCAACATAGCCACATCTTTGCACAACCGGTGGGAAGGAACCACAATGCCGGATTTTGCTGTCCGCAGTGTGTGCAGCTCAGCTCCGCCCTCAAACCAAGAGACATAGAGTTTTTATACAGACAGATAGCAGAACACATTGTTTTAGAAACAGCATGTATGCCATTCTAAAACCTGGTTGTGGTTGATGTGCAGAATCAGATTGAGGTTATTTCTAGCTCTTCAAGCTCATCTGTATTTTACTGTGTCCCTCTCTCGCTGCAGATAGAACATTTATTTAAAAAACAACAACTGTGGCACAAGTTAAGTGTACAGTGACTGTATAAAGCACAATGAGGTTTGACTTGGTCTGCACTTGGCAGATACACCCAATCATCTCTTCTGGTCTTCACACATATCACTACAGAATTATGGTCTCAGACTTTGCCTACGCACGTTCATCATCTGGTGGACCACAAGAAACCAGGCAAGAGAATTGAAAGAACTCTAAATGCTGAGCTGACACTGGACCTGGTTTCTGTGTCTAATTTAGATTTTCAAACGAACTTCATCATTCTTAATCGCTCTCTCACAAACACATATTCCCTCGCCCTTTCTGTCCATGATGAAGGCCTGTTGCCTTTGGGTGTTAGTTCCAGACAATGAACAAGAGCTCACAGGCGCCACAGCCAGAACAGGAGCACCAATGAATAAGAAAAGAGGGGAGATGAGTTCAAAAGCATAAATACTTAATGATGGTTGTCCAGCAACTAACTTATAAAACCCAACAGCAAAAAGCACAGAAAATAATCAATACGGAATAAACCATTCCACATTCCAAATGTGACTGTGTTTGTGAAAGAGCATGTGAGGGTGAGAGAATGAGTCAGGAGCACAGCAGCCTGAGGGGTGCGACAAAGATACGAGTTTAAATTTGGTCTGACTGGCCTCAGGTCCACAAGCTGCCCACCTACATCACATTCCCTCTCTCTCTTATCCAATTACACACACACTTTATATCTAAACAGGAAAACTCAGCTAACCAGTCATAGCACAGAGAAGACTAAAGTATTCAAATATTTGTGACAGCACTTGTTCAAGCACATGTATATTCATATTTGGATATTGTGGATTTAGGATTATTTCCTATAACTGTTTAATGGACAGGTCTTATTCACAGAAACACATAAAAACACTTACTCTGCAGCAGCTCCCGGTGCAAAGAAATAGGCAAAGCTCTGAGCCAGCTGCACTTCATTTTCTATGTAGTTATGATGAAGGGGCTGGTCCGTGGGAGGGAGGCCAATCTTATTAAGCAACGATACCGCATCCACTATCAGATCAACACAACCTCCAAAACCTGTGGATGAGAAAAAAAGACAAAGAGAGGCAAATATTGGATAGAAGCAGGTATACAATTTAAAATTGATGACCAATGAGAAGGAGAACTTAGGGAGATGGCCGCGAGACGACAGGGAGAAGATTGTGTATCATACTTTTTTTTTTTTTTAAGACACAACAGCAAAACTGAACAGTACGCATAGAGCAAAGAGAAATGTAGTGGCAGGGTGCAGCTTCAGTAAAGCGAGCGGAGAGAAATCCACACAACGTGCAGCTGCTGTGACATTTGCCTGCTCAAATGATCCAACACATCGATACGGTTTCAGCTGCTAGATCCAAAATCATCACCTCATAGCTTAGCTCTCATTTACAAACATTTTCTATCAGGTCTGTACAAGTGAGCAAAAGCCAACATGCTGTACAACTACCACGGAGCACATTGTGTGGCAGCCTGTTACAAAAGCCAAATGTTTGTTAAAGAACTCACATTTGAATTAGTTTTGAATATTTAACTTAAGTAGACTGAAGCTGCTTTGTTTGCAGTTGCTTTTTCCTGCTCTTAGCTTCTACACAGACAGTAAATACATGAAATAAAGACCTACGTATATTTGTTATCATGTAGTCAGGACCATATATATCACATATTTATTGTGCCTTTTGGTTGCAACTCAACATTGCAGGATTTATTTGTTTTTTATTTGGATTTACATTGTGTTGTAGTGTTTAACTCCAATCCATGACCCGAAGCACCCTAATAGCGACACATAAGAATTAGAGTAAACTATCTCGACGTAGCTGTGATATTACAATCTAACAGGTGTGACTGCGTGGCTGAGCCTGTTGTTGAAATGGGTAAAGGTTGGACAGATATGCTAATCGCTGCTGTGTGTTTGCATCCAGGTTCAAAAGGACAAGATATTAGGATTAGATCATGACAGTCAAGATTAGAATTATGTTGTTTGGCAAAACCTGAAGTTTGCTGTTTTTTCAAGTGATGAATTCCACCTTTAATAATGAGAATCAACTTGGTGCCCACAGTGGCAATGTAATACAGAGACCACATACTGTCAGTCATACTATTTAAAGAGTGTACTGGTTTATACTAGATATGAGATATGATACACAGAGGCTACCATCTATACTAGTGACATATGGCAGACATTGGTTACTTTGGTTAAGCTCACCCACATTCATGGTTCAAATATTGCCACTATTAGACAGAGATTTCCACGCACTTTTCTTGGCCCCCCAACAGTTCAAACCTTATATATACTGTTAATGGTTCACACACAGCAGGCCTGGACTTGAGCTGCACAGAACATGATAGCCAGGATGAGTCTGTGGGTTGAAGGAGGCTCTCTGCTCAGGACGAACTGTTCCAGCTTGTCACACAAAATGCTGATCTGATCTGATATCTGGTGACTGTGCAGATCATTCATCAATCACCTCTCCACTGACTGCACTGGGTCTGGCTTCATCAAACAACATTAACTTAACGCAGAGCTCGTTGCTTCCTCTTGCTGACAAACTTCCTGATACTTTGTGCACTCATTGTGGAGCTAATGTATCTAATGTTATTGACTTATATTCTAATGGCGCAAATTCAGCTCAGAGAGTTGTCGATCAACTTTAATTTGTGTGTTTTATTAGCAGTGAATGTAACGATAGTCCATCTGAAGGAGCTTACTAACCCCATTGCCAGCTAATACGGATACCATTCATTTCGGACCTAATCGATTATTGACCCAGAAGCTCCATAAGCCTTTAAAATGAGGTTAGGCCAGCTAGCTCCCAGCACTTACCGACAGCCACTTTGGGTCTGGCGACGTTATTTATCCCGACTTTACGTTCAGCCCGCAGCAGAGAGGACAGCACGGTGTCCAGCCGGTCGTCCAGTCCTGCATTCTGGGGTGACCGGAACCACAACGCCAAAACAACCACAAACAGGGACACCAAAGGCCCATATTTCATCCACGAAACCCTTCCTCCCCCCTCCATCGTCCGCTTTGTCTCTCTAGCTCCGTACGGAGACTCTCTGTCTGAACAAGCAGCTTCCGCCCGCTCCACCAGTAAGATTGTGTGCGTTGGGTGTCTGTTTGTTTTAGGGACCGGAGTGTCCCGGATGTCCCTTCACCGGACGAATACTGAGTATAATCCTGTGTTTTAATATTTAATTCAAAGCACCACCACTGCAACTGTGTTTCAGACTCTGTAAACAACTACTTTCCACATGTTTCTGTAAAAGAGAAGCTTTGTTTTCACCGAAGCACTGGTGTCCGGTTGGATAATTGGTAGACGCCTGCGAACAAAACGAACACCTTTTGTTGCACTACGACGGGGGAGTGTTTGTTTCTGCTGACAGCAAGGCGGAAGTGGCAAACTATAGAGCACTTCTTTTCAAATGTTTTAACTTTTATTTTTTTTAGCTTTGTTTCCTATTACCAGAACAGCCTGGCCAGAAAGTAGAAACTAGTCACTTCAAGTCAGAGTTTTAGTTTTATTTACTTCAAGTCAGAGTTGTAGTTTTATTTAGTTTGGAATCAAGTTTTAGATGACTTTTAAGATTTTAGATACAGAAACCTACATTAACGTTGATCACCTACTAATCAGAATGTTTGACTAAATCCATTCATCACACATCTATCACATGTTGACCTACATTTCAATTCTAAAAAGCATATCATAAGTCCTATAAAATGTTACTAATTGGTTTAAATTAACTACATGCATATTCAAGAGTGAACGACACCATATTGGGAATCAAAGTTTTATTTCATTCAGAACAAACCCTTTACGAGCCAATCGTTTGATCAATACAGGCAGACAATAAAACATTCCATTTCTACCATATTTAAAAAAAAAAAGTTTCTCAATTTCTCATCATAATCTGAAGTTTAAAAACACTAACAGGCACCAATTACATTTAGTACATCTATGGAGTGGCATTTGTGGCACTGAAACAATGTTGGATAAAAACATCAATATGAAAGCTGTGATTATTAAAAATCAAACAAACTGACCTTCTCTGCAACATTAGGCATAGTTTGTCAATTTCTTTCCATCAGGAGCTGTACTGCTCTAAGATGGCAGACACTTTCTACCAGTGCAGAAAGAAATAAAAAGGGGTGGACAAGTCCAATTCTACAGTGACAGTCTGCTTCAAATCACCTGAGATAAAATNNNNAAAAAAAAAAAAAAAAGGGAGGTCAAAGAAGGCCTCCCAGCAGCTAATTCATAAAAAAAACACAACAAAAAACAATTAAACAATGGTGATTTGTCCTCAGGCACATAGTTGATGTCATACTCCATCCGCTAATCCACCTAAATGAAGTAAAGGTTGCTCTTGAGTTTTTTTCTGTCTGCTGTGGAAAGAAAACCACATGCCATGTGTAGCAAAGTGATTAGTGAGCTTTAACTATCAGGACTGAAAGCAGTTGAACGTGGTCAGAGCTCCAGAGTACACAAGTGGAGTGTGTCACCCTCTAGTGATTATGTAATGATACTGCAGCTCAAAACCTGCAAGAGGAAAAAGAGTCATTAAGACAGACTTCAAGTCACAATCATTACCCTTAAACTTTTGTTGTGAAAGACTTACATACACTTCAGTCTTTGTGACATTACATTGGGGAGTTGCAACAGAATGGCAGAGTTGTACTAGACAGGTTTATTTGAGGCAAATATGTTCCATTTCCTTTATGTGTCGTTTTGTACTCTTACCTTAAAAAAATTTTATTTGGGATTCCTGCACAATCTCAGACTCAATACACAGGTGATCTGATCCACGCAGGAATTTAAAGAATCCTGAAGACCAGAAACAGACGATGACAGTTTACACATAAATATCTTCATGTCTTTTATGCGAGAACATATGGTATTGTGCATTTGTGTCTCATAGTCACGGCTGCTAAAATTGACTTTCCCCAATGGCAAATTAATAAAAGTAGTAAATTTAAAATGTTATTTTTGGTATAAATGGTACAAGGGGTCTTACATAGTTAAATTATAGATATTATTGATTTACTCATTTAACCTGCTGTAAAAAAAAAAAAAATTCAATTAAAAGTAGCAATACCACAAGGCAAAAATATGCATGAAAATAGGAGTGCTACTGTTTATAATCAGGAGTGACAAATATGTTGTCTCTGCTCACCGTTATCACCCCAGTCAGTGTTCCAGGAGTTGGCGCAGAGCCAGTAGGGAACACCATCCTCCACCCCCCAGCCAAGGATCTTGATGGCGTGGCCGCCCACAGCAGACCCAGACACATGCTGATACACACCTGAGACGAGGAGAGAAAAAACAAACAAGAGGACACAATAGAGTGGGAGGGTCAGCAAGAGTTCAAGTGTGTGAGAGAACGTCAGAAAAACATTTGGAAAAAAAAAAAAAACACTGAGCAAAATCCACAATCAGCATTTATCCTGTGCTCCACATGATATGAGTGTATAAATATTTAGTACTTATTTATCTGTTAACGGTTCATGTGTTCTTACCAGACTTATACTGCACAAAGTCTTCATAGACGGTAAAGGCACCCTCTACTGGACCGTTCTTGTATATCTCATTCTGAATCTGCTCCTCTTCGGACAGCACGGTGTATGAAGTTTTACCTGAAACACACTCTGAGTTAGGATCCTGCACTGCGTGTGTGTGTGTGCATACACTGCTGTGTGTAGGTTAGGGTTAGACTCATTTTAGGACATAAACATACTACGTGTGTAGCAACACAAAGCAAAATATAATATACTAAAGGGAAAATCACAGGGTAAGAACTAAATACAGTTCACATTTTAGTATGCAAAGACTCTAAACTAATGTTTAGTTTAGCACCAATTCCTCCCTTATTTATGCAAGTT